ATCATTAACATGAACTATTTGGAATCTGCCTGATAAATAAGATTTGAACCAATTTAGCATGGTTTCTTTAATCCCAGTAACATGTTGTAGATGAAGAGTTGCAAGCAAAGAGAAACACAGCGGCAGGTAGTGAATGAGACATGACATATCTGTTGGTTTCTGAGGAGGTTATAAAGAAAACACTTTCTCTGCTTTTATTTCTGGTTGAAGGGACAAGGAAGACGACTGACAACTTATTTTTTTCCACAAACGACTAAGATGTTTTCTTCTCTCTCTCTTTTTTTTCCCCTTGTCAACCTTAGTCTTAGTCCAGCCAGACAGCAAGAGGCAGAATTGAGTGACGGGCATCAGTGTGGCCTTTGTGTGCAGGTGTTAACCTTTGAACTCAAATGAGGGTTTAGTGACTAAGAGATGGAGAGATGACTGATGACAGACAGGTGTCACAGCGACCCTCTTTTACATGACAGCAGTCAATAGCACTTTTCTTCGCTTTTGGTGACCTCTGAACCTTTAAGCTGTGGTATGTAGAAAACATTGTGTCTGGGCTAGGAGCATGGGGGGGCTGATAAAAACAAAACCATTCAAACACATTATTTCATTCAAGAAATTTGGAGCTGTGCCTGGTCTTGCTGTGGATTTTGCTGTTCTGTGTTTTAGGAGCTTTTAGTTTAGTTCATGAGCAGTGATGGTGCCATGACTGGACAGTCAGTCTAGCTGATTGGTCATCAATATGACAGAACGGAACAGTCAGTGAAATTGTGATGGGCTATGTTCATTGGTTTTCAGTGATTTAAAAACCAAACACAACTGAGGAACTAACTGATTAGTTAATAAAAGTAGTCATTAGTTGCAGCCCTTCTGTGATTGCTTGAAGCACATGAATGGATGGATGGATGATTGATGGGAGAAGAGGGGAAGATTTGGAAAGAACAGACTGAGCAGATGGAAGGGTGCCATAATGGCTGCTTTTCTTGATAAAAGTCAAATCCTCTTTCTTAGCTTTTAGTGACCTTTGCCCTCTTTACCTGTCAAATGTAAAGAAGAGGTGGACTGCTAAGAGTCTAAGAGGAGTGGAGGTTTGGAGGGAGAAAGAGTGAAGGCATGCAGGAGAAAAGTGTTTGGAAATATTGTATTACTTCAAGAAGATTATCTTTTTTTTTTTTACTGTTATGTACAGACAAATGATCTTTGCTCAGGGTGTTTGGTCACAAATCTTTCTTTCATAGCAAATACATTACATAATCACAACGTGTGTGTGTGTGTGTGTGTGTGTGTGTGTGTGTGTGTGTGTACGCACAGAGTGTAAACATGATGAATTCTGGGTGACCCTGATGTTTGGCCATTAGGAATGGGAACACAGCAATTCCCCCAACAGTCCCGAACAAATAAATCCTGGCCACAGCCAGAATAGCCATTAACAAGTCTGCTAAAGAGGGGGGAGGAGGAGGGGGGGGGGGGGATGGATGGAGAGAAAGACAGGATGGTAGGATGAGCTAAGGTAAAGTTGATGAAAAGAGTTTGGAGAGTAGAAAGACAAGAGGAGGTCAGAGAGGAGAGGGGAGCAAGATGTGTACAGTAAGGGAAGTACAGATAGACTGAGTGGGGTAGAAAGAAAACGAGGCAAAAAGAGGATGCAGAGTAAGAAGTACAGATGGAAGAAATGTGCAAGATGAAAATGAGAAGAAGGGATAGAGGGCCCTATTGCACAGAGACAAGAAAGAGATGGAGAGGAGAAATAAAGTTGGACCTAGAGAGCTTGAGAAAACAAAAGAATATCTGAATGAGGAATGAAAGAAAAATGGAGTGAAAAGGAGACTGCATAAATGGAAAGCAATTGGAGAAGAAAGAAAGAATGGGCTGCATAAAAAGAAGGTAGAGATCTGTGAAAGCAGAAACTAAAAGATGGAGGGGGGAGGGATGGAGGAACCCCATTAGCGGAGGAGAAATGAGAGAAAACAAACAAGTGAGGGTAACGTGTCACTTTGTTTTTCTGCGCGTCCCCCCAGAAGAATTAGAGGAAGCAATAATCTGTGTGTGTGGAGACAGGAGCGATAGCACAGGGAGGTCATGGCAGGGGGAGGGAGTGAGACGGAGAGAGAAGTTCAGCGAGAGGTGAAGAGAGAGACCTGCCGTTTTCTGTGTATGTTGTAGGGTGAATCAGGGGTCAGGTGTGTGTGTTTTCCAGGAGGTGGGCCCTCACCTCCTCCCCTCCCTCGATTCAAACTTACCTACTGACCTCAAGTTCACCCAAAACTCCATCCTCTCCTCCTCCTCCTCCTCTTTCTTTCTGTTCTCCTCTTCTTTTCCTCCTGTTTCCAGTTCTTTTTTCTTCTCATTAGATTTTTTTTCTTCTGCCTTCTTGTACTCTCATTTTCTTCCTTCCTTCCTTTTCTGGTTCCCTTCTCCTTCCTCCACATTACTTACTCTTCACCTCTCATTCATCTCCTCTTTTATCTTCCTTTTCTCTCCTTCCTAATCAGTTTTTCCTTCTCTCATATCCACTTCTCCAGTTGATATTCTCCTCCTTTTCTCCCTTCTCTTCTTCTGTATTTTTTCAGTCATGTTTCTTGTTCTTTCCTCCTCCTTTCTTTTTTTCTCCTCAGTGAACGGTAACTGTCTATCATTCATCTTAAATATAACAGTGAGGTGCACTTACACAACTGCACACAAGCAGATGGTGTGATTCAGAAACAGTGTGTGTGTGTGTGTTTGCTATGCTTACAAACAAACACTGACACTTTGTCTATCTGTATTTAATTAACTGACACATTTGCTCACATAGCCTCACAGCCAGATGCTGTTTATGCTTTATGTAACTGGCTTTATTTATGTGCGTCTGTACCTGTTTATGTGTGCACATGCAGCCCGTGTGTATGTGTACTTGTTTATGTGGGAGGATTAGCAGGTCAAACTTCGGCCATGCAAGGGTGAACTTGGGGACAAAGGAGGGAGAGAGGAGATGCATACAGAAGTGAAAGGACCAGAGGGAGAAAAGGGAGGAGGAGAAAACTGTGCTAGGAGAGGGTGGGACCAGGACAAAGGGGGGAGGAAAAGATCAGGAAGTCTTTGTCCAAAGTCAGATTTAGAGGAAAACATAAGTTATATTAACCTTTTGGTGAGTGTAGAAAATATTTAGGACACTTCCTGTTTTCATGACACAGATGAGGTGAATTCAGGTGAAAGCCATGACCTCTTTACTCATTAGATTGAATTTAACACTGAAACATATCTTATTTGTTACTGTAGATGGATGTGACATGAGAAAGTGTTATAGGGCTGAGCTATACCTGAAAATTAGGTTTCAGTCTAATACCATAATGGATGATGTGACAGTTCCTGGAAGTGAAGCTAGTCGATCGCCCCCTGGTCGCTGGTTGCAGTATATGTCATAAACCCCGCCCCCTCCATGTTAGCAGATGGGCCGCCAGGCAAACTAAAATTCAAAGTACAAATCAAATTTTTGCTACAAGTGATTCCTTTCATTTTAGGTAGATATTAGTACACTGATGTGTGTTCAAGTGGTAATTTGTAGTTACTGTATTTGTATTTGTTATTATAAAAAGTGGTGTATTTCAGATGATTTGACAGCTTTAATTGGCAGCTTGATACTGTGGCTCCACCTCTTGAGTGTTACTGCGCAGAATCTGTTGCAGATTGCTTCAAAAATGGCTTGTTGGTCAGTCATGTGATCCAAAATGTCAGCCTATAAATATTTCTATTTGTGAGGTAGACTTTCAACTTCAGGTGCCATAGTGCTGCAAACCCTATATCCCAATTAATCAGGAAATAGACCTCATTCTGTTCTTAAACAAGTGAATGTCTTGTAGGTCAGTGAAGGTATCATACTGTTGATGTAGAACGTTTCTAATTTAGGACAGTGAAATTGGGATTATGCCAAAAACTGAAGTTAAATTTGTTCAAAAACCACAAAATGAACTCTTTCTCAGAACGCACACCCCTGTATTCTTGTCCCAACTTTGAAAGTGTGTTGCCCACATCTTCTGTCCTCCTCCTCCTTCCTGTTTTTCTAATGGCACACCTCCATCGCCTAACACTGGTTCATCCCCTTCTCTGGCTCTTATCTATTCATCTTCATCTGCCCTTCCTTTACCCTCACTCTCTGCACTGTTATCCATTTCTCTCCATCTGTGTTTCTTTCCATCTTTACTCTTTTTTCTTTTTCATCTTTTTTTCTCTCTCTCTCCCCCACA